ACAAAGAAAGAGGTGACCATTGACTTGAGGCCAGATGAGAAAAATAATAAAAAGAAAGCGTGATGTTCTCTCCTGCCCAAACTGCCACTGATTAGGCGCTCCTTCAGCCGCCAGTCATCCAACTCCCAGCAGCTACAGAGAAGCACCTCAGTCAGCCTGATTTTGCATCCACAATGCTTTAATGTTAAAAGTGTGGGAATAAAAGGCAGGGTATGGCTAGAAGATAAAACACACACTCAGCTGAATCGCTCTGAATGAAGAAGGGTAAGCGGAGAGAGTGTAAATGTGTACACGGGCATCCAGAACAGAGAAGAGTTAATGCAAGGAATGCTTTGGCTCTAATGGGGAAGTATTAAGAAACTATGGTCCATTTTTGAGGCGTGGTTTTGGTCGAAGAACTCCATCATTCAGATGTACTTTCAGTTCACTTAATACCCAAAGGACCTTCAAATTTTAGCTTTAACCAGACTAGCATGCTTTAACAACAATGCCGGAAGACAGAACTGCAGTTCAATATTGCAGGTGTCTTGCTTTCAAGACCGCCCCTCCCCTAGAATCCAACGCCTTGTTTCGTGTTTTTTCTGGGTCTGCGATCTTTCCCTCTCCTTCTTTTCTCTAGTTCTGTCACATCAACATGAATCTGGGGATCCAGAGCTTCCAGTCCCACAAGCTGCAGTCTGCTATGTCTTGCCTTGTCTACAGCTCTGTCACCATGGTGACTGATGCCTGGGTGTTTCTGCCTCCTCTGGTACGTTCTGTCTGCTCCTTGCCATTTTTTTCACTCCCTGCTTTGTTTCTCCACTGAACTCCACACAACACAGTGCTTATTATCAACATGGGCCGACAAGATGCAAGGGCAACAATAAGTGTAAATTGTGCGTCATTACTTAATCATGTTAGAGATGACTGTATTTTATGTTCTTAGTAGGTTTATTTTTCCAAAATAAAACATCCAGCTAGTTTGATCATCCTGACACAATAAGCTGCGCACCTGTTATGTAACGCTGCTTTGCAATCAAATAACAAAGTAAGACTGCACGTGCAGTACTTATTGACATGCCTGCACTTACTAATTAGCTCAGTCAAGGACTACTACAGGAAAATTAGCTGCTGCAGATGCACCGCTGAAAAGCAAATGAAATTTGGCTCTTAACTGAGCGGGCTCACACCTTCTCAGTGAAATAATTTGCGATGAAACATAAGTTAAATGTAAAGATTCTAGTAATATTTTTTTGTTCCATTCGGGAAAGTTGTGCAAAAGTATTTCAATGGGAAACTGCCATGATATTCATTTTATCCGAATCAGAATACTTTATTAATCCCAAAGGAAATTATATTGGTTAGTCTCCATCTATTGCCAAATAACGTGACAAAATGGTAAATGAGTTGCCCACTAAAACAAGTATGGAACATTTACATGTTGGAAATATTGCCGACTGGGTGTCAGTGGCAGCGAACCACACAATTCCCACAGCTGCAACTGTACATTTAAAGCATTTATCTGGTGAAACAACAGGTACTTGTATGAAGTTATAGGAAATGCAGTGTGTTTGCTCACAGGCTTAACTCTACTACTATTATTCATCAAAAAATGCATGTATTAAAAGTGGGCAGTGGTTATTTTCAGCATTTTTTTTTGACAGCAAATTAGTTCAAATATTGCAAGTAGGGCCACAAAAGGAGCAGCAACAGTGAGCTGTCAGATGAGCCTCCTCACTGACATAACTGACTACTTTCACCATGCCCTACAGACTCGACCCATCTGCAGTGACAGACAAGAAAGTCTAAATATTACCTGACTTCAGTTTGTTTTGCTGCTGCCAGAATTCAGTGCTCTGTTACCACTACTGGTGTCACCAAATCAGCAGGACCGAAATCGCTGAGACTGCTGCTCTTGGTTTCAAATTCACTGATCCTTTTTCCACGAGTCTTTTGACAATAAAGATACAAATTGTGGACATCCTTTAGCCAATGTAGAAATCATGTATAATATGTTGATACAGGGAAATCAAATATTGATATTTTATTAAATAAATGAAAATAAATAAATAATAAATAAATGGAAATACTCTGTCAACAAGAGGGCTCGTCTCCTGCACAAAACAACCTGAGATAACGTTAGCTGAGCAAGCATCCAATTAACTGTCCCAACTGAAAAACCATGCGACATATAATAATAAGGTCAAGATGGTATTAGTAATTCCCAACTTGACCTCATTCAATCTTCATGGCAACATTTATGGCAGGTTTTAGTGACAGTGTTTGTATGCTTGACAATCTCATTTTACATCAATAAGAAATAACTGAAGAGAGATAACTTCGTCTTATTGGGTGAAACATATTGACAAAGTTTAACTTTGAGGACATAATTTGTGTTTGAAGGAAAGGTGATAACTTGTGTAATATGTTATTGCAACTCTAATTTTATTGCAAAATGTAAAAATATGTGTTAAAAAAGTGTCAAAACATCATATCAAGGGGGGTCTAGTCCCACCTCTAGAAACACATCGTCATTCTCATCCCGATAACTTTAATATTGATCGACAGAGACAAAACAGCATCATTTCTAATGATGAAAAATTACACCTTATTGTTATGGCAACCCAACTGTTGGAGGGGACGAGAGCAGAGACCGTGATGGGCGTGGGAGAAATCCACAGAGTTTCCACATCAGAGGAACCTTTAGTGTGATGCTGACGGTGCTGGTAATAAGCTGGTTTGCAACGTGCTGCACGTATAGGCTAGAAAATCCACAGCTGCAAATACACCGTCACTGCAGGAGGACAATATACGTGAATGTGGCATGATGTAAACAGCTGTGAGTAAGAGGATGACTCACTGAACTCACACCCCAGATTGTGCGGCACAATCGGAATCATCGAGCAGCAGCCACGTCAATTTCATTTAACATGCTGGATTTGATGCATGGAGATGATTTCATTACATTGCATCTGTGCCGAAAATCAAACGCTCCTGTATACATATCCCACTTATTCTGCATCACACACTTCACAACAGGGGAAAGACTACAAAAACAATCTGGGGAAAGACTACAAAAACTGCACTGTAAAAAAAAAAAAAAGAACTCAGTAACATGCCTTCTAATGCTACAAACAAAAGTCCAGCAGACACAATCTGGTCTGAGGTATTCTGGAGAAGAAAAGCACAAAGAGATGCCACACTGGATGGGTTATAAGTGGAAAGCGTGTGTATTAGAGGCGGCGGCGGGGAGGGAGTATGGTTGCAGTTTAAATGTAGTGACCACTCAATTCCAAACCATTCAAGCCTTCTAAGAACAGATCTCACACACCCCATTAGAACCTCTGCTGACGCACACATGCATAATACATGGAAGCTGGATCTAAAAGCATACAGCCCATTAGGAGGCCGAGCCTGTGAAAAGAGTAACAGATAGAGAGGGAGAGAGACTCAAACGGCTGCGATCGAACGGATTGCTAAGCTGGATATCTGCTGATAACAGCACACACTGCTGGTTTAAGGAGTTGTGTTGTTATTATGAGCTTGACCACACTGTGTACAGACAAATTAGCGAACAAAGAGGATGACACCGGCTGTGCTGTCCTGAAAAAGTAACTACGATTAAGAGTCTGTCATGACAGCTTCTTGCCATTGAGAAATACCAGCTGCAAATGTGATCGTTTATCATTAAAAAGACAGCCTGTTTTGGACTGCTTTCGACCACCACCACCCTCAAACTGAAAGGTTTTGCTGAGAAGAAAACAACAACAACAACAACAACAAAAAGCTTGCAATGGAAAATAAGTTCAATTTAATCAGTAAGATGTAATGCTTGCTGGATCACAGTTTTCAGGCATAGATACCCACCCACCACCCCCTGTTCCGCCCTTCCAGTGGCTGAGTGTTCTGGCCATGTAATGTGAGGTGGCAGAGAGCCCGGCAAAGCTGTAAATTATTTCTGACGGTAGGGGTGGGGGGACAACAGGGGGAAAGACTCGCAAGTCCCAAGAGACAGACTGTGGATGGTGTGGCGATACGGGGGCCTGCGTCTATAGCAAGAAAGAAAAGTAGCCTGTCGGTCCCCCAAGCCTCGACCCTAAAGCTGGAAGTTTACGGCCCTTCTGCAGACTGCATAATGTGTCCAACAGCCATGCCTGGCCAGATGACCAGAGGCCTGTCCGTAGGGTACAGGGCATTTAGCAGACTAATCGTAATATGCTTCGGTGCATCTCTCTCTCTCTCTTTCTCGTTCTCTTTACACACACACTTTCTATCTAGCAGCAAATGTAAAATTACAGCAATGCCTGTATGTTGCAGTGACGCTGTACTGGAAAGGTTTTTAAAGCACAGCAAATGTAAGTAATTATTGCTCTGTTAGTCTAAGCATAGATTATTAATTCATCTGCAAAATGCACATGATGTCCATTCTTGCTGCCATTTTGCTGTCAAGTAACTGACACCTTAAAAAAAAAACTTGCCTCCCCCTATACACCTTCAAAAGAACATATAGTGGGCGTGTAGGGGAATTGAGTAGGGGGTGGGGGGGAGTCCCCACTCATCCCCATCACTGGACTCCTAAGATGTACATTAACCCCTCATGATCGTTGCCTCCCTCATGTTCTCCTCTCAGGCAGCAGCAGCAGCAGCAGGGCAAAGACATGCTGCAGCAGCCGTGCGCTGGGCCATAAAGGCGCACGCGCGTATATACATTTACGGTAACCCCCGATGTGGTCACAGTGTGCCTATAAAACTACCAACGTCCAACCGTGCAAGCTTGCGCGCGTGCACGCGCACTGAGCAAAGAGCGGCAGGGACGTTGATCGGCCCCCATCATCCCAGCCAGGAAATATCTGCAGCAGCACAATACTGTAGGCTGTTATTACGCAGGCAGGCTACCGATCAATACATGCACCCCCCCCCCCCCCAAAAAAAAAAAAAAAAAAAAAAATCTCGCCTGACATACCAACGGGGAAGCCCTCCCTCATAAATCTGGGCATTTCTTTTACAAAGGAATCACTCACCCGATGTTGCTCAGCGCCTGCTCGAACAGCTCCGTCTGCAAGATGTTCTGAGGTGCCGTGAAAGCCCCGTTGAAATGTGATAAAACCGAGCTACAGAACTGACGCAATGTCTCAAACTGCATTTTCCCCCCACCTCGGTTTTCTTTTTATCCTCAGTAAGTGCTCAGCCTTTTCCCTTTTCCCACCATTACATCCCAAAGCCTGCGCTCTCTCCGGACGCCCCCCTTCTAAACATACACCTTGTCAGTTTTTTTCCTTATTATTATTAGTAGTAGTGGTAGTATCAATGTTATCTCCCGGGGGCGCATTAAACGCAAATAAGACGCCGATCAAGTTCCATATTCCTCCTTGCACTGCTGGTAAAAAAGTGTCCTTAAACGAGACGCATACCGGGTGGGCTCCTTCGGTCATAATGCTTCGGACTTGCAGCGAGAAAAGGGAGGCAGTGCCGGTGCCGGTAACAAGCCTTTTCTTCTTCTCGCGGCAGCGGCAAAAATCTCTTCTCCGTGTGCGGGGAGAGGTGAAGGAGCGTCCGGAGGAAAGAAAAAGCGAAGAACCATCCTACACTGCACCTGGCGGCGGCGGTAGCATCCCCGTACCGGCGCATCAGCTGCTGCCTCACATTCAACTCATATTTCCCGTTGCCCATGAAGAGTACACACTTGCCCTGACACGCGCACAGACACGTACGCACGCGCTACCGATACAGTCGCGCGAACTCTTTCGCCATATCTCTCCATTCTGTCTCGCGCACTCTTCGGGACGCGCACAGCAGCAGATAACCGTCAGAATCACGCACGAGGGGGGTGGAAGGGGGCGTGCTAGCGTCACGACTTTTTGTCTTTCCGACATTCCACATCCGGCTTTGGAATATCAGCGCTACATCAATCAGCAATAAAGTTACTGTGAGGACAAAGCACGCAACTAATCAGGGCTTTCCCGAGAGCCTGCTTGTTTATTTATTTATTTAATGCGTTTCATTTCGTCCAGAGAGCCAACTGTAAAAACTTGAAATTAGCCAAAAAGAACCCAGTTAATTCCAGGCCCTTCTTTAAAGTTGATGCATTTAATGTGGTTACATATTTTTACAAGTCTTCGTGTTTTTCAGAAATCTGTTTGTTTGTACGGGTTTTTTTGTTGTAGTTTTTTTTAATTCAGTTTACTTTCCAGAGTTGGAAGAAGTTTAATTTAAGTTAGTTTCAGTCGTAGTTATTATTATTAATAATAATAATAATAATAGTAATAATAATAACCATTATCGTTATTATTATTTGGTTTTAATGTTCATAATATTCCAAGTTCACTAAGTCGTTTCAGTTGGCTTAATTGTTTTTTCACATGTCTACTTTTTAATTTTTATTTTAGGTTAATAAACCGTTTTTGTTTGTTTTTTTTACATCTACTTGTGGTTGTTAGTTTAGTTTTAGTAAACTATTATAACCTTACTGAGAGATAAAATATAGATCTGCTATATTTAAAGCAGCGCTTCAGCTGTTAATCAACACAATAAAGTGGCCCTTGTTTAAGCATGAGGCAGTAAATGTATTTATGTAGAATGGTGTTGGCACTGTGATCATGTTAGGATAATAAAGTCCGGAACAAAACAAACATGCAGATGCTATAGTTACCCACATCTATCTAAACTCAAACATATATGAAGTACTATAAATACTAGACTATGAAAATATTAAGCTTAGAGGGATTGCAAATGTTTGTATTATTCCACTGTTCCATGCAAGGGACCAGGTGAGTCAGCATCAAAAACACTCAGTCCCCTTTAGGTTTACCTAAACCCAAAGCCTCATTCGATTATATAAATAAAATTGACCTGAAATGAACTGCTGGGCTCAAAACAAACCCTCTCCTACAAATCTAAAAGAAAACATTATATGTTCAAATGAAACTGATGACTAAAACAACAAAAACTATTAACCCTGAACTATCTGTGTCAGCTATTCTACCATATTATCATTTCACTGCAGAGCTGATCGAGGCCAATGCGGCACGTGCATAAAATAGGACTACTGTCTGTCCCCAACTTTAAACTGGGACAGACTAGGTTTGACTAAACAATTGTCCCAAGCTTACTATGTAACACACTGGGTTTTGCTGGTTGTTACAGGATGCTCGAGCTAGGTTTATTGTGCTCCTTCCTCTTCTCACATTTTTTTGGCAGGGTGAATGTGCCCGCTGCTGGGTTAAATGTGTTGAAAATGCAGAATCTGAAGAAATTCTCCCAGGGAGTACATTCCAGTCCCTGTTTAGGTATGGCGGTTTCATCAGCATCATCCAACACTGCAGCTGTCCTGGCATATTTGTGCGTTCATTCAAATGACACCTTCGAGACCAAGACAAATTGGAAGCCCTCCCAAGTTATTTCTCCTTATAAATAGACCTCCAGCTTTTCCCCCTCCTTTTTTAGCACAACAGATCCAGGAGTTAATTTAAACATTCTTTAAGATTAATGAAAGTGGGTTTCGGTGCTTATGCGGAGGGAGTTCTATTTATACACTCTGTGCTATCCATCATCAGCATTATCCCATGAATTTTCAGACAGCCAGTTTCCTGTTTTGTCACTGCAAATGTAGGCAATGTCAATGCGAGAATTACTCCCTGGTACCATCTCCACCTCTCAAAGCTATGCAATCATTCACGATATAATGGCAAAATCCTCGGCCGGAAACAAAAAGTGATTGAGTGACTGACTGTTTGGAGCAGTCTGAGCAACTCCTGCATTACTTTGCACTGTAAAGCACTGCAGCTTTAATTACAATTTGCAGTTGATTCTCTGCTCTTTTTCTTTTTAAATCATTGGACAGTCTAAGGGAGATTCAACAAGAACACTGTGGCCATCCTTATCTTCTAACTGCATCCAAGCCATCAGGACTGTAGGAAAAAGTCTGATCCCCTGACTAAAGTCTGCTACATTATGTTTGCATGTGTTTCCACAACTACAAGAAGGACATATCCTCTATATAACTACCAAAATACAGCTGACCTGCTGTATAAAACTGTAACCTTGTGTGTTATACATCACTGAATGCGTAACAATCTCGCACCCTGGGTATATCTGATGGAAGATGGGAGAATAACATCATGCCATCACTGTAACAGACTGATGAAGTGGCAGTGTTACGTATCCCATGTCTGAAAAGGCTTCATGTGTCACTCTGCTTGCTCATTGTGTTCTTGTCTATAATTCTGTAGGGTTTGTACCTTACAGTATAAAGTTCCCTGAGATGCACACGGCTATGAATCGGTCCTGTATATAAATATGTAAACTGAACCGATTCAAATTAAACCATAGCACAGTGGCCTCATTACACAGTGAAAGCTCTAACAGGACACTCGTGTATTTCCAACTGACTTGCAGGGCAGATGTGTTAAATGGACTTCACGTACGAAATTTTTAGTGGATTCTGAGGACTGTGTTTAGAGACATGTTGTAACCAGAGTTGTGCAGGTTGTTTTGTCCCTGTGCTACACAGGTCAGCGTAACTGTACTTTGCTGGCATGTAACACAGATGCACATAAATTACTCTGGGCTAACTCTGTACAACTCTCCAATTAGATCCAGGCTATCCACTGAGTGTGCTCTCCACAACATGGCTAAGTATACAGCCTGCATTTCCCATCTTTCCTATAAAGAAGCATGGAGAGGAAGAACAGACAGAGAGAGACAAGGGGGCAACTGTTAGTCTGTGAGCTATAAGGTTGCTGTGGCACACCAAGGGTTGTGGAAAACAAAGCCTTACGCTGAACAAATGCTGAGTTACCTTACATCTGAGAAGGAGCAAAGACGGACACGAGAGGGTTTTTTTGTTGTTGTTTTATTTCAAGGGCTCTGCTGAGAAATTCCAGAGAGTGTACAGATCCTGACTATAAGCGTCCATCCAACCTTTAGAAGAATAAAGAGCAAGGAGCCCCCATGTGGACATCAAAGTAACTACTTTACTTGACACCAGCATCAAGAAAAAGGCAACCAGATATGGGATTCACAAACACAGCGTGTCCGTGTTGTCAGCATGTGAGAGTGTTGCACTCAGAGGGAGCGCTTAGTGCATATGACAAAAGAAACACAGTGTTCTGCATTGTAATTAGCCCACTCTTGCTTTTCGAATAAAAACAAACAAACAAAAAAACCCATCCTATTAATACTTTATTTACTGCAGTGGCCGAGCTGGCCTACAAACAGGACTAATTACTAAATAGGACCGCTGCAGTGAAAAAGTGCGCTTTTGTCTCAAAAACAGAGATAGTACTAATCACTTCACACACACCTCACCTGCCTGTTTCCCATTGCAGCTGAATCAGAGTTTCAACCATCTGTGATCATGTGTGCCACTGTGGTGTATGTGTGTGCATGCATGCATGTGTGTGTAATGAAGAAAGAATGAGTGGGTGGATGACTGTAGTAGAATAGCTGAGTTAGTGCCAGTTAGATACAGTATATATCTCCCTGTGTCGTTTATAGGTCTCATGGGCTCCATGTAGAAGAAGCTTATATGGATTCTTATGGCAGGCTTGCATGTCTGTTCCTTCTACAGCAACACAGAGCAGCGGTAATATTAAAAGGCTTTCTGCTGTTAGATGAACCACCTTTATGAAGCTCTTGTCTGTAACTTACACCGTGCATGCAGCGCATGCTTGCTTGTTTGTTGTTGTTTTTCACAAACAGAAGTGAGGTGTGCATGTGTGGGGCTTGTGTACCTTAGCCCTGAACCGTTGTCAAGGGACGCCTGTCTGGGCAGGAGCCCGCCGTGAGGTCTGTTTCTGTCTGACGCTGGTGTCAAGTCTCCTGAGGCTCCCTGGTAGGGGTATAGGGACGGGTCCTGCAGTTTGGCCTTCTTCCCCTGTGGCCCACCCTCAAACACACCCCGCGCTTGATCAGGCCCCGAGCCGTAGAACCATGCCCCCGATTTGGTGAGGATTTCTTGTTGTTTTCGGCACAAGTTGCATACCCACATAACCTGCAGGCAAGAGAAGGGGAACAGTTAGTTCAACTGAAGAGGCGGTGGCAGCCTTATAAAACCTAAGATGAGCTGCAATGGAGTAATTTGTGTATTTGTTATCTAAAGCTGTAACATGACTATGAGGCATATTGTTGTTGCTGGGTGAACAAAAAAACCAAAAAGATCTCTCAAGGTGTTTGACAATCAGGAATCAGGAAGAGAACTTTTATGAAAGTGAGTAAAATGAGTGTTTTCACCCCTGCAGCGACAATATTCATAAACACTACTCACAATTCATGGTGATGAGGTGAATGATGAAATATTAGACACATGCAGCAGCCTTTTAAATCAGTGAAAGGTAAAGTGACATGAGTGCAGATTTTTTTTTTTATTGCTGCTCTACATTTTGAGCCTGTGCGTCCATCCTCTACAGTAGTTTTAGTGCAAATACAGCCGACTAACAGCAGAGGCTACATCATAGTGAATGTTACGCATATTTTGCTAATATATTTTAAAGGGAATGGCAATAATTTTTTTTCTGTGTTGTGTCATCCTGGGTAAATAAAATAATGTTTATTTATTGGTATAGCTGGATTGTCAGTGGACAGTAATATCACTCGGGTGACCACACCTCTCTCATTGAGTAAAATTTGAGAAGAGTAAGACCTTACTAAATGACTGGCAGGCCAGACAGCCAGTTGGGGGTGGCAAAGAGCCACTGCAGCACCCCACCCCCGACCCACACCACACATCGTGCTTTTACAGTCCCAGTGCTGAGTCAGTGCATTACCGTTATTAGTATAAGCGGGTGCTGAATTGACCGAAATGTTATGTCTACATTAACTGAACTTGTTTAAACTGCGCCCGCCTGTACGGCAACTGTCAGAACAGGTTCAAAGGCTCAATCTGTACCACAGCTCCAAACTGCTTATCTCAGCCGCTGGTTCGAAACGAAATACAGAGAGACGCAGAGTTGGGTCTCTCCACCTCCGTGGCAGAGACCTAACAAATTATTATAGTTGGTAACAACCCAAAACATCCTATGCAACCTTTGCACTAACACACAGACCAAGAAATTTTTTCTGGGTGGGACAGAGAGAAAACAAAAGCTGTCATCAAGTTACACAGTCAATCATTCAGTTTTATAAATTGTCACACTGTTATATCACAACACCCTGGGTGCAGTTGAACAGTAAGGAAAAAGCCTCGTATAAGACCTCCTGTGTCTTTTCCTAAGCAATATATGAAATTCCCCTCTCGCCCATCCGGGCGGTCTTTATCCTTCGAGCTCGGGTCCTCTACCAGAGGCCTGGGAGCTTGAGGGCCCCAGGACTGTGCTCTTCTGGACAGAGATCTCCGATGTTGTTCCTGGGATCTGCTGGAGCCACTCGCCTAGCTTGGGGGTCACTGCACCGTGCGCTCTGATTACCACTGGGACCATTGTTACCTTCACGCTCCACATCTTCTCGAGTTCTTCTCTGAGCCCTTGGTATTTCTCCAGCTTCTCGTGTTCCTTCTTCCAGATGTTGCTGTCATTTGGTATCACTACATCTATCACTACGGCTGTCTTCCTCTGCCTGTCTACCACTACTATGTCCGGTTGGTTAGCCATCACCATTTTGTCCGTCTGTATCTGGAAGTCCGACAGGATCTTAGCTCAGTCATTCTCCACCACCCTAGGGGGCATCTCCCATTTTGACTTCGGGACTTCCAGGCCTTGTCGGCACAGATGTTCCTGTACACTCTGCCAACCACTTGGTTATGCTGTTCCATGTATGCCCTGCCTGCTAGCATCTTGCACCCTGCTGTTATGTGCTGGATTGTCTCAGGGGCATCTTTACACAGCCTGCACCTGGGGTCTTGCCTGGTGTGATAGACCCCAGAACTATTGATCTTGTGCTTAGAGCTTGTTCCTGTGCTGCCATGATTATGTCCATAGTAATGCATTCACATCATCTAGTAGACCTTCAGAGGATACTTCACGTAATCTTGATAACCGGCTATGGAGGGATTATGTTTCAAGGTCAGTTCCTTCTTCCATTGCATATATATATGTATAGAGAGAGAGAGAGAGATGCTACACGACTGAAACACACAAGAAACACCTCACAAAAAAAGAGAACATTAGCCTTTTTTTTTAAAACACAGGTTAATGTCACAATAATGAAGGATCTGCATTATATTTCATAGGTCAAAGGAAGCTCAGCATCTACACATCTACACAGTATGTACTGGTCTATGTTCTAGTGACACACGAGGTATTTATGACCTCCTATCAGTGTTACAGATGACTTAGAACTCTGGTCACACACAATGGAAGCAGCGAGGCTACACACTGTGCTTTATGTGTCCCAGAGGACAGGAGCCAATCAGACCACAACTTCCTTTATTTATCCAGTGCCACTGTGAGAGCTCTGCAGCAAACCAGGGGTCACTGTAGAAGACCCAGCTGTCACCTTACTCCTAATCAACGCCACATTACCTCCTGTATTTGATTTAACTAACATTGTGAATTGTAACTAAATCATGGGAAGTTATCTCAACGTGGAAGTCTCCAATCACACAAAGGAGTCTGGGTTTTTTTGGTTTTTTTGCTTCAGGTAACAGTGCTCTGCAGTAATCAAGGCAGAGCAGCGTATGCCAGCGCCTTCAGTATGTCTGCTGACAAAACACATGTGCACACACATTACTAAACACCAGGAGACCCCAAAGGCTGCAGCTATTCCACCAAAGACTAGTTAAATCCCACATATCAATCATCACCGACAAAGACAAATACAAAAAGGCTATTAATGATAATCTAGGTATAATTTATATGATTCTTTCAGAGTTTTGTTTTTCTCAGCCAAACAATTTTTTTGTGTGTGGACGAGTGGATTAAGCTTACTCATGGAGAAATGTGAGGGTATCTACACTAATAAAGTAACTACCTACATTAGAGCATGTAGGATCATGGGAAAAAATGTTTTACCTGGTCAATTACCTGAAATCTGCCCTTTCCACTGCTGTAGCCAATGACCTACATATTTACTCCTCCAAACTACAATTAACAGGGAGTCAGTTACTGTGCACCTCCCCAGTCTGCCAATAATAATTAACCATATTCTCAGCCCTTGGACTGCACATGTCAAGCTCTTTTATCTCATCAGCGAAATACCTGATAGCCTATTAGTATTCCAAAAACACAGGCCAAAAAAACAAAACTGCATGGGTCCAGAAAATGTTGCACACACCGAGCTTCAGACATCAATACTTGGATTTGATTTGCACTTTGGATCTGAGTCAGAATAAAAATTGAGGCTTATAAAGTCTATAAGACAGGAGGAGGGGAAAAACCTCCACAGGCTGAATCTACAATATCTAAAAAACACTGAATGAAATTAAATGAAATTATGTAGTGACACTGATGACAGGGCATTTTCTGTGGATGCCTAAATGTTTCACAGAGGTTATAGATGGGCTTGAGAGGCTAGTGAGTGCTACCTGGTTTAGCAGTTCAAAGACTTCTGAGCTAAGGATACAAAATTTCTCAAATTCAACCCAAAAATAAGAAATCTGCTGAAACTTTGACGGTAGAGATAAGATCTCTAATGCTGTAGCACAGTACTAGATGTGTGACAGTAACGGAAGCACGTTGGTTTGTCTTTAGTCACACTGGCAGACACCACACAGCATAAGGCTGCTAACAGTCCATCCAGGGATGCAATCCAAAGACAGATTGAGCTCAACCCACACTGACAGGAAACTATTATAACCTCCATTCATTTGCAGAGAACATTGACAAAAAGACTCCACAGTAGATGAATGCATTCACAATGACACACACACACACTGGTCAAGCAGCTGTAACAGCCCCAGGTATTTTCACTATCACTGCAGCCATTCTGCTCCAGACTCTCAAACACACGCGCTTCCCTTTGGCTCAACTCTTCACGGCTGAGCGCAGGCAGCGGGTTTGGGGGCTGTGGCCCTCAGGCAGGACCATTTCTCTCTGTGTTTGCACATTTCATAGTCATTGAACCTGCAGTTAAAAATAGAAAAATAAAAAAGAATTTAAAAAAAATAAAGCGCTACCACCCTGTCCAAAACACCTGGAAGATAGATACTCTATTCAACCTGCTATAGGCTGCTTACTGAGGCAGTGAATTAAGGGAAATACACACCACATGCCACAGGATCAATAAATAATTTCCTTTCCAATACTTTCTCATCAGACCAAAGGTTTGTTTTTTAGGGTAGCAGCAAATATCATCTTCCAAAAAAAGTGGGTGTGTTCTTAGGGAATTGGCAGTGCACATTCACATATGTCTTTGAAGGAGAGGTTATCTTTGACACCCCCCCCCCTTTTTTTTTTCTTCTGTGAATAAACCAACAAGTAAAGACAACAACATGTATCCATCAGCAATGTCCATTACATATTAAACACTGTTGTGCATGCTCCATTCAATTTTTTCCTGAAAGAGACATCCCCTCACAAAGCTGCTGGATCTGCAGCAAGCAGAGAGCACCGAGCTCTCTCTTGTGGCCGTTAAATGACACTGCAACATTATTTAACACTCCAGAGTGAATCAGCAGTATCCTTCCAGGCAAAAAACAAGAAAAGCAGAAAGCCAGCTCCAGCGTTAAATGACACTTTTAGATTCATTCATTTTACACTCATTCATCCGTAACATCGTCACAGGATGCTATTTCAAATCAAGATGAGGAGCTTCTGGTGACATCTGTGCCACATTCATTTGTTTAACAGTTAT